GAAATGCCAAAATGTCCATATTGGCTCAAATCTATGGCGACTCATTGTCTGTGGAACTATAGAGGTACATATCAAAGGATCTGTTGACCAATAGTCTTTCAAGCTACCTTTTCTTGTTTGACCCATCAGAATAATTAGGCCAAGGAATTTCTTGATGTCCTTCTGTGTAACCGGAAACCACTTTAGTGTTCTAGATGGTGTTTTGCATTTCATTGTGGTTTGATCGTGATAGTTGGACAGCCCTTTGCACAACATCTCCAACAATTCATCACCAAAAAAGAGATTGGTCACAGAGGGTACAGAGTCACACTGAGATGGAAATGTAGTGACCCCAGCATGACCTTCAAACATTTGTAAGCGTGGTGGTGTGTCAATTTCAGACCAACAATTATCAGTAGCTCGTCAGTGTCGGAATCACTTGAAAGCACCGCCACCTTGTGCTTCCTTACAGGTCTAATAATTTCACTGTCAGTAGAATCAGTAGAATCATCTCTGGAATCGTCAAAACAGTCATCCGCATCTTCGATCTCACTAGGAATATCTGATAAATTATTGTTAAATACTTCCGGAAGTGTATCAGTTTCATTGGTTTCCTTCCTTTTTCTGAGAGAGGACATTTCTAAAAGCACCAGGAACTTGAAGAAGAAGACTATTCGCATGATCAAAATACAATGTAACTGCAATGCTTTATGGGTTCGTGCAATTATATAGTTTTTCGTAGATTGACCTGCACGGTTTCCACCAATGAGATCGCTTCATTCAATGTGGACTGTGCTGTGCCAGCACAGCCAAGGGTGTCTCTGAGTGGGGGGGTGAAAGGATTAAGGAAAGACAGACAAGAGAATAATAGCTGGTTCTCGGTGGGACGCTGCTCCCTGAAGAGGAGACAACGCCAGCGCCCACAGCCGTGTCTTTATTTTATAGCAGATGCCACGAGGCAAAGTAGGGGCGTGATCACGTTGTTTCCAGCATTCTCGTGAGTCTCAACCCTACTCAACTACATGCACCTAAACTCTATCACAAGGCACGTGGGGCTACGTGTTCGGACCATAGGTTCAAGCTTACAACCACAGACGTTGGCTATGATTGTGCTGGGAGGGCCATGCCCTCCAGCTGGTACTTGCACGTGGCAGTGAGAGGACCCTGTCCTTTCATTAGTCCAAGGCTTGAACCTGGCCAAAACACTGTAACCTCGCCCCACAGTGGACAAGACAGTGTGTTGACATCTAAGGTCCATAACAGATGGCGCGTGAAAAACGAGAACACTCGTGAGTGGTCCTTAACAGATGGCGCGCGAAACACAAGAAAACTCGTGAGCGGTACGCAATGTGTTAATATATATAAAGCAATAAGAATGATAAATAAGTATTGGTTATCCTATATAATAAAAGGCTAATATGCAAATTGACCAAATGGTGGAACAACCAGTCGCTATGACATGCACTGACCACCAGGGGGCATACACTCAACACAGGAGCTGCCCCCCTGGTGGTCAGTGCGTTCCCACAGGGGGAGCGCCGCTCAGCCAGAAGCTGGGCTCACAGCTGGCAAGCGAAGCAGTGGTGGCGGGAGCCTCTCCCACCTCCATGGCAGCACTGAAGATGTCCCCCGAGGGCTCCTGGACTGCGAGAGGGCGCAGGCTGGGCTGAGGGACCCCCCGCCCCCCCCACCCAGTGCACAAATTTCGTGCACCGGGCCTATAGTACTTATATAAATTTTCAGAGAGAAAAATCGGTTTTCATACAAAAATTAGAGTATCAAAGTATTGAGTGACATCAGAGAAAATGGCACATTAGGGAACTCAAAGAGCCCGGCCTTCCAAAGAATCACTGACAAAAGTGAGCAAAAGCTATAAAAAAATTGTTGGAAATCTACAAAATGGTCAATAGTTTAGAGCAACAAAGTGAATGCTGAACCAAGGAAAATGTGACTTAAATATGGTAGGAGAGTTGTTTGGCATTTTAACTTTGCCTTTGCCCCACCCCAATCTCTGACACAGTGGCAGTTTTGAAAATGGAAGCTTGTGTCCATGCTGTGGGTACCTGGTTCCCAAGGCAACAGAGTGGACCTTGTTTCCAAGGAATTGGATTTGTTTGATTTAACCTGTCCAGTGGTTCCCAGAAGGACAAATGCAAAGTGCCTGACTTTATTTCTCCTATTTTAGAACACTTACAAGGTGGCAAAATGGCTAAACTTGGGGTTTTTCTTGAAAACACTAAAACACAAAGGAATAAGCTCCTGCTATATAGGGCAAAAGATGATGGTTGAAGCAAACAATATACATGTTGAAAGCCTGGGAAGAGAAGCTGCAGAGCGTTACTTTGGAGAATAAAGGCTTTGAAAAGCTCACACACGCCTAGCCAGTTTGGCTCAGTGGCTAGAGCATTGGCCTGGGTGTTGAAGGGTCCCAGGTTCGATTCTGGTCAACGGCACATGCCCGGTTGTGGCCTCGATCCCCAGTGGGGGGCGTGTGCAGGAGGCATCCAATTGATGATTTTTCTCTCAACATTGATGTTTCTCTCCCTCTCCCTTCCTCTCTGAGATCAATAAAAAAATATTTTTTAAAGGCAATATATAAATGTATCAAAACAGAACATCATACACCTCAAACTAACATAATGTTATACGGCCATTTATACTTCACTAATAAAAATTTTAAGAGCTAAAAAGTAATTAAGTAATGTTCTACAAAATATTTGGTCTGTAAACTTCAAAACTTCCAAGGTTATGAAAGACAAGGCAAGAGTGAGGAAGTTTTCCAGATCGAAAGAGACTAGAGATCAGGTGCAATTCTAGATTGAACCCATCTACTAGTCCTATATAATAAAAGCCTACTATGCTAAGTGTCCGGTCATCCAGTCAGCCATTCAACCTATCAAAGCATAATATGCTAATGATATGCTAAGGTTGCTCAACCGCTTGCTATGATGTGCACTGACCACTGGGAGCAGACAGTCAACTGGTTGACCAGTCACTACGATGTGCACTGACCACCAGGGGGCAGATGCTCCAACTGGTAGGTTAGATTACTACTGGATTCTGGCTGATCGGGACTGAGCGAGATGGGCCGGACACTCCCTGGAGCCCTCCTGCAGTCCCTCCCCGGCTGGCTAACCTCCCGTGTCCCTCCTTGGCCTCAATCATGCACCAATGGGGTTCCTTGGTCTGGCCTGCACCCTCTTGCAATCCAGGCTGAGGGACCCCTCCCTCCACTGAGTGCATGAATTTCGTGCACCGGACCTCTAGTCTGCACTAATAAAAGACAAAGATGCTAATTGACCATACCTTCACTACGCCCACTAGCCAATCAGAAGAGTATGCAAATTAACCCAACAAAGATGGCAGTTAATTTGCATATACAGGTGCCGGAGCGAAGACTGAAGACAGCATAGAAGGAAGCCAGCAGAAGGGAGTGAGGCAGCGGAGAAGGGAACAGAGCCGAGGCAGCAGAGATGGGAAGGAGCTAAGTGGCAGAGACGGGAGGGAGCAAAGCGGTGGACATGGGAGGAAGCAAGGCGGCGGAGAAGGGAGGGAGCAAGGCGGCGGACATGGGAGAAAGCAAGGCGGCAGAGAAGGGAGGGAGCAATGAGGCGGAGAAGGGAGGGAGTGATGAGGCGGAGATGGGAGGGAGTGAGGCAGCGGAGAAGGGAGTGAAGCCCGCCTCGGTGGGCTTCGCTCCCTTCTCTGCTTTGCTCCAGTCTCAGGAAGCCCTATTCTTGCAGGAATCTTCCTGCAATGGGCCTCTAGTATATATATAAAAGGCTAATATGCAAAGTGTCCCCTTGGGAGTTCGACCAGGATACCAGGAGTTCGATTGCTCGCTATGACGTGCACTGACCACTAGGAGGAGGTGCTGAATGAACGAAGGCCCTAGCCGGCAGCCGGCAGCCGGGGAAGGAAGGCCCTGGCCAGCAGCCGGAAGGCCTCAATCGGCCCTGATCACTGGCCAGGCCTAGGGACCCTACCTGTGCATGAATTTTGTGCACCAGGCCTCTAGTTTTGTATAAAGGACAGTATTGAGAAACTTGAATGGTGTCTCTGGGCAAAGGGTATACAGCAGTTCTTTGAATTATTATGTTAATTGCTTTGCCTGGCCCATGTAGCTTAGTTGGTTGGGCATTGTTCAGTGCACTGAAAGGTTGCCAGTTCAATTCCCCATCAGGGCACATGCCCGGGTTGCGGGATCAATCCTAGGTTGGGGGCATGCAGGAGGCAGCCAATCAATGTTTTGATTTCACATCAATGTTTCTCTCTCTCCCTCGCCCTTCCTCTCTCTCTCTAAATTATTTTTAAATTTTTAAAGCTGAGAAGAATATATAGCATATAATTAGCAATATATAAATATTTACTGAATTATACATCATAAAGAATTTGGGGTAAAGTAAGATCAATCTCACAAGTAAGTACAATTTATGGAGCCCTGGAAACATTCTCCCTAACATCCAAATATATCTTTGCTATCCATTACCTCTGTGATAGTAAACCCTGAAATAGGCATAGGTACTGAAATAGGAGATAAAGAATGAAAGAGTGAGATGAAGTAGAAAAATAAAATCTTATCAACTCTGGAAATTTTACGAGATCCAGTCTGGGAAGCAGGCTTTATTTATTCTATCAAATTTCTCACACCTCCAAATCCCAATATAGAAAAATAGTATAGCAGCGATATGATTAATTGCTGTCAACCTTGCCAGCAGGGAAATAAAATCATTTTTTCTTTCTTTTATCACATAGCATGAAATATGGAAGAAAGAACTATTATCAAAATGGTTTGACAACAAAAAGGAAAGCAAAGAAATTTTAAGAAATAATCCATATTGCTTTTTTAAACACCCTTTTTAGTATACAACAAAGGAAGCAAAATATTTAATAAATCAGCTAACTGGAACTGATTTCAATATAATCTCTAAAGGGTTACATAAAGTAGCAATAATACTTCCTAAAACTTGATATAACATATTTTCAAACTCTTCAAGAATAAATGCATAAATTTCACTCACCATTTTAGGGAGCCTCATTAACATATCTTTGCAGCGCATTACACAAGTAGATGCTCTTTGAAAATCATCTTGAGCAATTGCCTGGGAAAGTAAAAATTGTCAATAATTGGTTAAAATGAAATAACAAGGCTATATGTCTACAAGTCAATTTTAACATATTTTAACTATTACTTATAAGTCTTAATTTGTTTTCTAATATTTTTAGCAACACTAGTTAGTCTAGTTAAACATAATAACCAGCTCAAAATACAGAGAAATAAGTGGCAAGAATCTTAGGTACACGGAATTGACACTGTATGACTAGGAGTCGTTTACTTTTTTTGGAAATGCCAAAACTGATGTACAATAGTATGTTATTATATTATGATATAATGCCAAGTCTAGTAGATGATTCCTGGGCTTGAATGGTCTTGTATTAGAGAATTTTTTTTATTTTAAATAGCAGTCTTTTGTCCTAAAATAGGCTCACAATAACTCATAGTTTGAAATGCTTTGAACATCTGCTATGAAAGGCAGTTTAGTACAATTTCATCTTGGAGACAGAAGAGTTACTCTGATATTTATTATGTACATCCCTAAACATTATGGCTTCAGTTTCCTCATCTATAAAATGAGGACACTGTACTAGTTTACCCCTAATTTCTTTCTTTTATAATTTTCAGTGTACTAGTCTTACACTTCTGTTAAATTCATTCATAAGCACAATTCCTAAATAAAATTATCCCTATTTTCAAATGACATGTTCTTGTATTATAAAATATCCTCAGAAACCTATAAAAACTCTAATAAACAAGTTCAGTCAGATTACAGGGCACAATATATAAAAATCTATTTATTGTATGTCTATCCATTAACAATGAGTAAACAAAAAATAAAATTAAGAACATAATTTTATTTAAATTAGCATCAAAAATGAAATAATTGGGAATAAATTTAACGAAAGAACTGCAAGGCTTGTACACCAAAAACTACAAAAATTTTTTTTAAATAAATTAAATAAGACCTAACTAAACGGTAATACATTCCATGTCCACAAATCAGAAGACTTAATATTCTTAAGATGGCAATACTCCCTAAATTGAACTATAGATTCAATACAATTCCCATCAAAATTCTAGCTGGCTTTTTTGCAGAAACTGATTTGCTGATCTTAAATTTCATATGGAAATTTAAGTTACACAGAATAGACAAAAACATTTTGAAAAAAAAGAAACTTGCAGGGCTCACACTTCCCTATTTCAGAATGCATTACAAAGCTAGAGTAATCAAAAATTCTTGGTGATATGAAATTAAAAGTTAACCAACTATAATTCAACAAAGAATTCCCTGCTCAACACAGAGGCATGCCTGAGAGACCTGTGCTTTGAAACATCTAAAGGTGGACAATCGAGAATAAAAAGGGAGATGAGAAGGGAGGAAAGCTCAGATAGCACACAGACACAGCCCTGCAGTTGGTAGTTTGTGGCTCTGCCTGGAGACAAAATAGATTTAAAGATAACAAGACACAAAGATGGAAACTTTAGAATGATAAAAGGGACACTACATCAAGAAAACATAACACTTGTTAATATATATGCACCCAATCAGGGAGCAGCAAAATATATAAAGCAACTACTCACAGAACTAAAGGGAGAAACAGATAAAAACACAATCATGATTGGGGACCTTAATACTCCATTGACAGCTCTAGACAGATCAACCAAACAAAAATCAACAAAGAAATATCGGCCTTAAATAAAACACTAGACCAGTGGTCAGCAAACTGCAGCTCGTGAGCCACATGCGGCTCTTTGGCCCCTTGAGTGTGGCTCTTCTGCTAGACCAAATGGAAACAATTGACATTTACAAAACTTTTCATCTAAGAACATCAGATTATACATTCTCCAATTCACATAGAACATTCTCAAGGATATACTATATGTTGGGTCACAAAACTAGCATCAACAAATTCAAGAAGACTGAAATTATACCAAGCTTATTCTCCGACAACGATGCCTTGAAATTAGAAATCAACTGCAAAAAAGAAGTAGAGAAATCCACAAATAAATGGAGATTAAAGAACATACTAAAAAACAGCTGTCAAAGAAGAAATTAAAGATGAGATCAAAAGATATATAGAGACAAGTAACAGTGAACCAGCAAAACTTCTGGGATGTTTATTTCATTACAGGCCTACTCAAGAAATAAGAGAAATCCTAAGTAAACAACCTAAACACATCTTAAAGAACTACATAAAGAAGAACAAAAGAAATCCAAAGTCAGCAGAAGAAAGTAAATAACAAAAATTAGAACTGAATTGAAAGAAATTGAGGGGGAAAAGGACTATACAAAAAATTAATAGCCATAACTGGTTTGGCTCAGTGGATAGAGCATTGGCTTGTGGACTGAAGGGTCCTGGGTTTGATTCCAATCAAGGGCATGTACCTCAGTTGAAGGATGGATCCCCAGCCCTAGTCTGGGCTCAGGTGAGAGGCAACCAATTGATGTGTCTCCCTCACATCAATGTTTCTCTCTCTGTCTCCCTCCATCCCTTCCACTCTCTAAAAATCAATGGAAAAATATTCTTGGATGAGGATTAATGACAATAACAACAAAAATTACTAAAATAAGAGCTGATTTTTTAAAAAAGATTAACAAAATTGGCAAATTCCTGGCTAGACTCAGTAAGGAAAGAAGGGAAAAGACCCATATGAACAAAATCAGAAATGAGAGAGAAGTCACCACAGACATCATAGATATACAAAGGATCATACTAGAATATTATGAAAGACTATATGCCATCAAATTCAATAAACTAGAAGAAATGGGTAAGTTCCTAGAAATATATCTCCTTCCTAGAATAAATCATGAATAATTGGAAAATCGAAATAGACTGATCAGCAGTGAGGACATTTAAACTACTATAAAAAAAAAACTCCCAGCCCTAGCCAGTTTGGCTCAGTGGATAGAGTGTCAGCCTGCAGACCGAAGGGCCCCAGGTTCGGTTCTGGTCAATGGCACATGCCTGGGTTGAGGGCTTGCTCCAACGTGCAGGAGGCAGCCAATCAATGATCCCCTCTCATCATTGTTTTTTCTATCTCTCTCTTCTTCTCCCAATCTCTCTGAAAGCAATAAAAATAAATAAATAAAATAAAACTCTCAAAAAACAAAAGTCCAGGACCAGATGGTTTCACCCGTGAATTCTACCAAATATACAAAGAAGATTTAAAACCTATGAGGCCAGGGGATTGTCAAGGGCGGGGGGAAAAAAAGGACACATATGTAATACCTTTTGTAATACTTTAAGCAATAAAAAAAATAAATAAATAAAAATAATAATAATAAAACCTACCCTTCTCAAACTCTTCCTAACAGATTCGATAAGGCCAATATAACCCTGATACCAAAACCTGGGAAAGATAACAAACAATAAGAGAAATCTACAGACCAATATCTCTGATGAATACAGATACAAAAATCCTAAACAAAATACTAGCAAATGAAACACAACAGTACATCAAAAATAATAATACTTCATGACCAAGTGGGGTGCATTCTAGGGGCACAACGATGGTTCAACATATGCAAATTTATCAATGTAATACACCACATTAACAAAAGAAAAGATAAAATTCATATGCTCTTATCAATAGATGCAGAAAAAGCATTTCATAAGATAAAGTGTCCATTTATAATTAAAACACTCAATAAAATAGGAATAGAAGGAAAGCACCTGAACATAATAAAGGCCATCTACACTAATAAAAGAGAAACATGGTAATTAGCGTACGACCGCTACCCTTCCCATTGGCTAATCAGCATATCCTTATGCAAATTAACTGTCAGCCAAGATGGCAGCCGGCAGCCAGGCAGCTGGAAGCAAACATGAGGCTTGCTTGCTCCAGTGACTGCAGACTCCAACGTTCCCTGCCTGACTTACCGGCCTCTGAGCTGGCAGTTTGAAACATTCTAACAAATATAGAAGCTAAACAAAACCCCAGAAACCAGCTTTCAGCCGGCCGGGATCTCAGAGCTGGAGTTATACATTGTTTCGATTATAGAACGCAAACAAACCAAAGCCTCAGAGCTAGAGCCAGAGCTAAAGCTGGCCCAGAATAAAAAAAAAAGAAAGAAAAAAAGGAGCAGTTGGGAGCTTCAGTCAACAACCGCCAGCCTGAAAGCAGCCCTCAGCCCCTCACCCAGACTGGCCAAGCACCCCAGTGGGGACCCCCACCCTGATCCAGGACACCCTTCAGGGCAAACCAGCCGGCCCCCAGGCCTCTATCCTATATAGTAAAAGGGTAATATGCCTCCCAGCACCGGGATCAGCGGAGCCCTGAGGCCTCCTGGCACCAGATCAGCGTGACAGGGGGCAGCGCCCAAACCACCTGATTGCCCTGCGGCTCTGTGTGTGACAGGGTGCGGCATCCCAACCCCCTGATCGGCCCTGCTCTGTGTGTGACGGTGCGGCGCCCCAACCCCCACCTCAACAGGCCCTGCTCTGTGTGTGACAGGGTAGAGCCATAACTCCCCATCGGCCCTGCCCTCAGTGTGACAGTGGCGGCACCCAAACCCCTTGATCGGCCCTGCTCTGTGGGTGATAGAGGGCGGCGCCCCAACCCCCCCCCCCCACGGGCCCTGCTCTGTGTGTGACGGGGTAGAGACATAACCTCCCCATCAGCCCTGCCGAGTGTGACAGTGGCGGCGCCCCAACCCCCTGATCGCCCTGCTCTGTGGGTGATAAGAGGGCGGCGCCCCAACCCCCTGATCCACCCTGCTCTGTGTGTGACAGGGGGGCGGTGCCCTAACTCCCCTATCGGCCCTACTCTGTGCGTGACAGGGGGGAGCTCCCCAACCCCCTGATGGGCCCTGCTCTGTGCATGACTGGGTACAGAGCCCCAACCCCCCTGATGGGCCCTGCTCTGTGCGTGACAGGGGGCAGTGCCCCAACCCCCTGATTGGCCCTGCTCTGTGCGTGACAGGGGGTGGCGCCACAATGTCGCCATCCACCCTGCCTTGAGTGTGACAGGGGACGGTGCCCCAACCCCCCAATTGGCCCCACCCTGAGCGTGACTGAGGGTGGCATCGCAACCTCCCAATCC